CCAGCAGCCTGAGGAATTGTATTGCTGTATGACCGTGAGATGGCCAGTGCAGTAGATAGGGGTTTCCTGTGAGGACGAACTGGGTCTCTCTCTCTTTAGAAGTTCCCTGCCACTGCAGGGACTTCTGGCATTGGGGCACCTCCTTCCCTCCCGTTTTCTGCCCAGGAACTCAATAGTTCAGTCATCTGATGGCTACAGTCATCAGTCATCTGATGGCTAATACATGGGTCTAATTCTGGTGGTGGGCCAGCGGGGGGTTAGCAGATGGGAGCAGTTCATGGCCTGTGATACACAGATGGTCAGACTGGGTGGTCCCTTCTGGCCTTTGACTCTCATTGAAAGGATCTTCTGTTTAAAAAAACTAGCATCACAATGACCAGCAGCCGCTCTGTGTCTCTTTATTTAACACTGTTCCCTGCAGGAGAGGAAAGGGGACCCCTAACCAGCGCTGGTGCAGATGTCGGTCAGCATGTCTGAGAGCCAGGGGAATGCGACAGGATTATTTGCACCTCATCCGGGATCATCACTCATTCTCACCCTCTCCCCGCGCGCCCGTTCTCTGGATTCCACCTCCTCTCTCTTGCCTCATCCCTTCTCTAGGGTAGAAAATGTCAGTTCTGAGCGAGCCGTCCGGTGGCACCTCTGAGACGAACAAAAGCCTGTCGTGGCGTGAGCTTTCTTGGGTAAAAGCCGCTTCCTCGGATGAGGAGGTGGAGCAGCACTCTGTCCCCCAGCTCACGCTGCCTTGGGGATGCAAGCCCACTTCTTCCAGAATTCGATTGCTCCCCCGCTGCGCTAGTTCCTGCACAGGCGCAGAATGGAAACGGGGGGTTGGCAAATCTACATGCAGTGCGGCAAGAAGAGCCAGAAAATGACAGCGGCCGATGGTACAGACTGACTGGCTAGGTAGCAGTTCTGCAGAAAAGGACCTGGGGATTACAGGGAATGAGAAGCTGGATATGAGTCAGCAGGGTGTCCTTGTAGCCAAGAAGGCTAATGGCATATTAGGGTGCATTAGGAGGAGCATTGCCAGCAGATCCAGAGAAGTGATTATTCCCCTTTATTCGGCTCTGGTGAGGACACATCTGGAGTATTGCATCCAGTTCAGGACCCCCCATTACAGAAAGGATGTGGACACACTGGAGAGGGTCCAGCGGAGGGCAACAAAAATAATTAGGGGGCTGGAGCACATGACCTACGAGGAGAGGCTGAGGGATATGGGCTTACTTAGGGTATGTCTAGACTACATACCTCTGTCGCCAGAGGCATGTAGATTAGACTACCAGGCATAGGAAAATGAAGCGGCGATTTAAACAATCGCCGCTTCATTTACATTTACATGGCTGCCGCGCTGAGCCGATCAGCCGTTTGTCGGCTCAGCGCAGTAGTCTGGATGTTCCGCGGTCGACATCAAAGGCATTTGTCGACCACCCAGGTATGCCTCCTGGGATGAGGTTTACCTGGGTGATCAACAAATGCCTTTGATGTCGACACCCGCACGTCCAGACTACCGTGCTGAGCCGACAAACAGCTGATCAGCTCTTTGTTGGCTCAGCATGGCAGCCCTGTAAATTTAAATGAAGCGGCGGTTATTTAAATCGCCACTTCATTTCCCTTTGCCTACAACCCTCATCTACATGGCTCCGTCGATGGAGCCACGTAGTCTAGACACAGCCTAAGAGTATGTCTACACTTTGTCAACAAAAGTGGACTTTTGTCAACAAAACTATACCTGCGTCTACACTACCGCCGAGTTCTGTTGACATAACGTCTGCAGAACTTGGCAGTTTTGTCGCCAGTGGTAAGCCTCATTCTACAAGGAATAACGCCTTTTGGTGACAGAGTGCTGTCAACAGAAGGCATTATTGCATCTACGCTGTCCTTTGCGTCTACACCCTCATGTTGACAAAGCGGCTTGCTTTGTCAACAGTATCTCGAGTTACAGTGGGGAAGGTCTAGGCTGAATATTAGGAAAAACTGTTTCCCTAGGAGGGGGGTGAAGCACTGGAATGGGTTACCTAGGAAGGGAATGGAATCTCCATCTCTAGAGTTTTTAAGTCTCGGTTTGACAAAGCCCTGGCTGGGATGATTGAGTTGGGGTTGTTCCTGCTTTGGGCAGGGGGTTGGACTTGATGACTCCTGAAATGTCTGCCAGCCTTAGGATTCTATGTCTACCCCAAGCTGTGCACTCAGGTCCTAGTCCAGCTGGGTTTTTCCTGCTGTTCATTTGACGTGATGGAATTAACTCTGTGGGCTGCTGGAGACCAGGCATCTGACTGAAGGGTTGAATTGGCATCCCTCAAAAACAGCTTCATGTCCCCACTACACTGGCCATTGGCCCTTCTTACCTCGTTACTGGTCTGAATCTTGCCAGGTCAGTCTATCCTGCCAGCGAAATCAGCTGCTGTTCAGCAGCCAAATGTGAAATAAACGGGTGGTCTCAGTCCAGGTCCAAGTGTCCACGTTGCCCTCGTTCCCAAAGAAAGGTCACCAAGCTAGCAAGCTTTGCTTGCAGCATTGGGCACCTTTAGTTACTGGCACAGAGCCAGAATTACCTGCTCCCCTCAAGAAACTTTTCATACCGAAGAGTCAAGGCCCATCTGATGAGAGCAAGAGGGGATCTTGTGCTGCTGCTTCCTGCCCCGTACCACGTCTGTCGATAAACGTTGGACTTTGGTCTCTGGGATGGTCCGTTATCTTAGTTTAATTAGCCTGAAATTTACTTTTTAAAAATTTCTTTGTGGACACTTTAGCCTAAAGCCTGCAACTTGTGAGATTAGTCCTCCCAAGTGCAGTCTGTTGTTAATCCAGAGACGGAAAAACCCCTTTTTTGCACTGGAGAGAAACTCTTCTACACCATGTACTCCAGATAGGAAAATCATTCGTTCAGGCTTCACAGCTGCTCTGATCACTTGGGGAGAACTTAGAATCATAGAATCATAGGACTGGAAGGGACCTCGAGAGGTCATCGAGTCCAGCCCCCCGCCCTCAAGGCAGGACCAAGCTCCGTCTACACCATCCCTGACAGATGTCTATCTAACCTGTTCTTAAATATCTCCAGAGAGGGAGATTCCACCACCTCCCTTGGCAATGTATTCCAATATTTGACCACCCTGACAGTTAGGAATTTTTTCCTAACTTCTCCCAGGAATCTCAAACATTGCCCTGTTTCTTTTACAGATCTTTTGGGCAATGGGTGGAATGAATTCCTCTCGACACTAAGAGGTGAGTACCAGACCCAGAGAGTAAGGGTCTATATAAGCTGAATGTCATGGGTCATTTCGTTTCTTTCAGGCCCCAATGAAATGGCTTGTCTGGAAAACTAAGTTTTAAAACCTTTTCTTTTGGTTAGTGTCTTGTGCTCGTTAACTGCTAGGATCCCAGACATCATGACTTAGCCTGCTGGGGAATGACTGATGAGTAAAGATTAAGTAAATATAGATGAATGATGAGTAAGAGGGAGGTGAGGTTTCCAGCTAGCGTGTGGAGGTAAAACCCAAGGAAGGGGTTGAATTGGTTACAGTGGTGTGAAAGGGGACAGGGAGGAGAAATGGAACAACATCAAAGAAGGAAAAACTTCCCGACAAGGAGCCAGGTTGTTCTCTCAGGAGAAGTGATAGAAGCCCCATTGATGGGGGTGTCTAAAGATATGCCAGGCAATAGAAAACACACTGCAGTGATCAGTTCTGCCTTGGCAGGCAGATGGGGTAACGCTGGCTATAGAAATCAATGGAGAACATAGGAGCTTTTATTAAACACACCTCACCAAGTGAGGGACTGACCTGTGAGGTATGTCGGGAAGAGCCATCTGCAAACTACAACCCGAGGAATAGTTATGTCTCCCCGTTGAAAACATGCCAGAGCAGTTGTGGGTGGCAGAAACCCGCGTGCCATCGGCAGCTCGGTGGCTTGGTGGTGGTGTCACGGGCCATGCTAAATTCTAAGGTGTTACATTCAACAGGAAAAACGCTCTAATAAAGGATCACTTGAAAGCAGAGTCAGGGAACCATGGCGCAGGGGAATCCCAGCTGTGCTGTGGCCTCATGCTGGTTGCTCTCCCTGGACCGGAATTGGGAATCGGGGTTGGCCCTGTTGCTCGCGGGACAGCAATAGGCAGGGAATCATCGGCTGGACAGGACTGGGGGTTGCATTTCAAACCAGGGCCCTGGTCCCCACCGAGTAGAATCACCGGGTAGGTAGTCCGAGCACTTGGGTTCAGGGCTGAGCTCAGGGACAGTTCTCCAGGGCGTTGGGCGTAGTTATACCCAGCAGAGAGGCAGTGGCAGTAATTGGGGGGAGGAGGTAGTGCATGGGGTCCCAGACTGGGGGGGGGGGGGGAAGAAATCAATGGGGG